ACTTTGGCCAATTACTTTGGTTCTTATTCTTACTTTCATGCCAAAAGTTGCATTGTTTTTAGTAGAAACTTGAGATTCGATATCATAAATCACTAAAGTGTTAAATATATGGAGCAAGAGATGGATCACACAAAGTGGTAGACATTTTGGGGGTATCCAACTTAACGTCAAAACCCTAATATAATTGTTTTTCTGAAAGTTAATACAGATCTACTAAGATGACAAGATTCAACAAGTTAGATACCAACATGTTTATAATAATGGAGCACTCAAAGTGGTATGGTGTTTCAGGGTATAGCTAAAATGATCGTGAAAACCCTAATACGAATGTGTTGTTTTGTTGACTAACGTATATCTAATAACATACCAAGATTCAACATACATAAGTACCAACATGTTAACATTTGGAGCAACATATGCAAAGTGGTATGCGGCTTTATGGATGTCCAAATTAACACAAAAACACAAATACGAATACATATGTTATCTTTAGTTTGCAAGTTAACAAAGACCTACCAAAGAGAAAATATTCAACATCCTTGGATACCAACATATTACCATTTGAAAGCTAGAGATGGGAAGTGATACATTTTGTGTTGGAAAGCGATACATGATCTTTCTTAATTGTTAACACACATCTACCATAATCACATGCAAGATTCAGCATGGTTAGGTTTAGGTACCAACATATAATAGGGGGGTAGGGGTTCCTAATTCACATCTTGATATATGCATAGGGTTATGGGGTTTTAGGGCAATTTTTCAAAAGAAAGTGATGATCTTGAAAGAGTAAGTCTCCACAACTTGGGAAAGCTTAATGGGACCATGTCTTGAGAACCCATCTTAGGTATGGAGATTGGAATCTCATAAGACAATAAATTACATCTAATATATATATATATATATATATATATATATATATATATATATGTTTTGATTGTAGAACATATACAAGAAAGCATGACAAAATGGGGTTGAAATTACCAAAAGATCCACAAGAAAGGAGAATCTTGATCATTGTCAAAATAAAATGTCTAAAGTACAACCACAAATCATGACACCATTCAAACACATTTTATCAACCATGAATGGATCTTTGTAGGGTTTAGTGATAATGAATTGTGTTTTTAGAACAAATACTGATTTTCTTTGTGTTGGATTATAAAATAAATGTGAAATTTTCTATTTCTTGAAATATCTTATCACTCATTTCCTTATCGATTTAATGTAAAGTTTTAATGACGTTGGTATTTATTTAAATGATTTTATCGGTAGACCGCGTTGAAATTTAAATCAATTTAGATATGTGGTTTAAGGGGCACATTATTTATCAAATATTTAATTTATTTGAAAACAATTTGAATATCGTAGGTTGAATTTGTGAATTTTCGTTTAAAAAAGGGTTGCTCTTTATTAAAGTAAAGGTATATTCTTCTAACGATCATCAAAACTAAAGCAGTATTGTATTAAAAATTGTATCTTGAACGAATTTCAGCTACAAAAAGGTACTGATACTGGTGTAAAATACAACTTTCATCAAAGAATATACATATCGGTTTTAACTTGATTATGCAAAATCCTACCTATAAATACTTACTTGTAGCATTAAAGACCAAGGAAATCGCATTAGATGGCAGGGTTATTTAGAATATGACTTTAAATGAGTTTTTAATTAAATTGTTATATACTTATGATAAGGTTATGGATTTAATTAAAATCTCATTTATGGTTATATACATGAAATTCTCATCTCTAGCATGTGTCTGTCATATGTGAAACTTCATTAACTTAATGAAAATAAATTTAAACATGAGAATTGAAATGTTATTTTAAATGAATCTCAACTAATTAAAAAATCTCAAACACAATAAACCTCGTTGTAAAAATGAAAATGAGAATAAAAATAAAAATGATAGTGAATGAATTTTCATTCCCCCAGTTTAACCAAAAATGAAATTTTGGATTTTTGAAATAAAGAGCCCATTATATTATAGAAAACCAAACAGTTTTTTTTATTTTTATTGATTACTGTTTAATACCTCTAAATAAACACCCATTTACTTTTCATATTCATCTAAAGAAACGATATTAATAAGTTGTATAGCATCAAAAAAAGCATGCGAAGGAACACAATTTATAAGGACTGGGAAAGAGAATTAGTAAAAGGGTGAGGACCAGATTGCAATTTTGAGGGACCAGGATTACGTGCATCGGGGTTTGGCAAAAGTGAGCCACGTCAGCCATCCGTGAGCAGTCGGCTGCCGTTGATGATGTATTTTAAATCAGCCGTCTGTGCCTGCATTGTCGACTCACTTTTGGGATGACAATCCACATCATTACCGTACACGTGGTCGGATCGGATGATGGGGACCACTCTTCTCTATTGTTTCTAGTGGGACCCATCTGCTCCATAAGTTGTCTCTTCGGTATGTTGTGCAATTGTAATGCCCCCTCTCGGTGAAAACCATCGATCGTCTTTCAAATATATATATATACTATACGAAAGAATCATGTGAGAAGAAGAGTTAAGCTGATAAACGTAAGAAATGATCTGAACCTTTGATCATATTTAATCTCAAACTCATTCATGAATCGTGCTTGATACGATAATTGATCAGGTCCATCTCATCATAATGTGCATCCAAAGGTGAAGATCTCATCTTACGCTTCTCATCTTAACTCTCATTTTTATCGGAACACAATCCTCATCTATACACACACACACACAAAAGGATCGTGTGAGAATAAGTTAAAGTGAGAAGTGTGAGAAAAGGTTTGAACATTTAATTACTTTTAATCCTAAAACAACACATGAATAACGTTTTAAAAGAAAATTGAATAACTTTATCTCATTAGTGATGATCTAGTGATTCTCTTCAATAATAATTGTTCCAATGGTGGAGATCCCTTCTTACTCTTCTCACCATAATTATCATAGTCACCGGAACCTAACCCTATAAGAGGGTTGGTTTTGTCAACAAATGTGAGAAGGAAACCTTCATATGTATGAATCTACATTCTACTACTTTTATTTACATTTTTATATCAGCATGACCGAAAGTTTAACAAATTCATGCATGTGAAAGTGATTAAAATGTATGTAAAAGTTTGTGAAACTGACTTAAAAGTGAAAATAAATTTGAAAATAAAGGTAGATGAATATAGTTGAATCTAATTGAAGGTAAATGAATGTAATTAAAGTAACCGAAAGCAGTTCGAAAAAATCAAGTTAGATTAAAAAGCCAACTCATCCAAAGGCTCAGAAACGTTTTCACAGTTCTCACCATAACTTTTATTTTCACATAATCTCCCGTCAGATATAAAAAGGGTCAATTTAAAAAAGAAAGCTAAATATTATAAGAAAATAGGAATAATGGGTTAAAAAACGTTCTTTTGTGAATTAATTGAAAAAAAAATCCAAAATATATATTCGAATATTAATATGTAAAATAACGTTACAAATTATTCATTTTTATTCACGTATACATATTCGAATGAACTTCTTAAATAATTTACTCATTAAACTCTTTTTTTTACCTTCTCACGAGATTTAATTTTCTTATTTGATATATATATATATATATACACACACAAGTGTGAGATTGGGGCGAACCAAATAATGACGAAAAACAAATAAAATAATATATTAAAATAGATGTCAAATAAAAGATAATGAAATAACTGTTTTTTGTTGTGATTTGTTTCGTTCCAATTTTCTTAAGATTTCGACAATTTTTATTAAAAAAAAATTAGGATATATAATATAAAACAGCAAATAAAACACCATCCACAATAATGCATTCATGTACTAACGTCGTTGTCGTCGTCATCATCATCAACCCTAAAATGGATGGTTCCTTTTGTTTGTTTACCTAGAAAGCAAAATCAGGCCGTCTCTAGGGGAGGCCTTGACAGGCGTTTGTCTAGTGCCCAAAAATATATGGTAGTAGTTTAAAAGAATTAATAAATCACAGAAACCTAAATAATTGTAGCATATAATAAAAAGTAAAAATAATAGTAGATAATAAATGCCCAAAAATATATTAATTAATCACATTAGAGAAGAAAATTAAAAAAAAAACAATTGATCATTCGTTATATGTTATTGTTTATTGTCTCTCTAATTTTCTTTATCTCCTACCAAGGTCCAATGTTATTGTCTATTACTATATTTATATGTTTGACTGTTTTTGTGATTCAACAATTCAACGTTAAGCTCAGATGCTTGATATTATATACTTCTATTGTCTATTGACTATTGCTATTTGGTTGAGTTGTTTTCATTGCTTTTGTTGACTATTGCTGTATATTTTTGCTTCTACGAAAGATATTGTATTATTGTTTGATGATTAATCTATTATTCTTATTGTTTATGAGGTGTTTCATGGTTTTGTGATTAATCCATAAATTTTCTCTACTAAATATATTAACTAATGTATTTTATATATGTCGTGTTCCATAAACTTTTAATCTTTACATCGTATTTTAATTGGCAAAAAAAGAAGGAAAAGAAAATTCAAACGTTATCATCAATTGTTTGACTTATACATCTTTTATTGGGATTTCACTACACATCACAAGATTCTATTTAAATGCATAAACAACCGATCATGCATTGAGTTTGCACATTATGTCTCATTTATTATTTACTCTTGGTGGATCTCAACGACTTGTCTAAAAAACTTGATAATATTCTCTATTACTTCTTCCACACACCAAGTTATTTTTTTGTATCAAAATAACACATATTTCTTGTTATGAATTAAAAAAATTCTTTATAAAAATTTATCAACCATAGTTTCTATATTCTAGCTTACTTATTACCTAATATAAAGTGCATAAATTTAAGTACTCTCTTATCTATAATAAAGAAAAATAAGATTTCTTTCCTCAATAAATTATTAGCAGTTTTTGTATTCAATTTTTTTATCAATGAATATTGATTTTTTCCATACTTATCGAGGGTCCTAATTTTACGTTCGTTCAGGACCTATAAAGTGTCAAAAACGAACCTGAGCATAATTAAACATTACAATGAGGTAAAATGACCAAAAAAGGACTCAAACAAAGAGTTATACCACAATCCATCTTCATGAGTACCTTCAAAGACTTGGTTTTTTTTCAGCATCTCCAAGCCGAAGCCGAAACGAGCTCCCGACGCTGCCAGCAAAGCACGAGCGACGACTGTCTCCTCTCGATGTGAAATCCCCGAACCGGGGTCCGCTTGATCATGCACACGGCTTGGCTTTCCGTAAAGTTGCTGAAAGTTAATGGAGAAAACCCCGACGATAAAAACTGGGCCCGCCAATGCTGAGTCTTTTCCGGGTAAGAATACCGGCCCGTTATGCTTTTCTCGATGCTCGGTTGGATCAAGAACCGTTCGATCTTCTGTAACACATTGAGGTTCATGTTCACGGCATCAAGAGACTCGAGTAGGTTCGAATAGGATTGAAGGGCGTGGATTAGATGGTTCGGAAAGGGTAAATCCGTCCTTTCAGATCCTCTATCGACCGAAACAACAATCTTGGGAGCAAGATCCTTGACGAATCGAAGAACCAACGGAAGCAGGATTTGGTAATTCGAAAATGCGCTGGTGGGTAGATTCACAGCAATGGCTTCGTTATCAGATACATGAAAGGGTAAAGACCAAGAAGCCGAAGCAAGAACATCGATGTTGACTATCTCAAAGTCAAACCCGACATTGATTTCGTTTGCGAAATTGACCAAATTCTCCCTGGTTAGGCTGAGTTCGAGGTGATCATGGGTCGTGGGCGATGCAAAAGCTGTGATTTTTATTGAGACGCCATTGGTGTTGGTTCGAAGAGCAAGCTCTTGCATAAGAGAAGCCCATTGATCACCATAGCCAAGGTCAAAGTCAATGATATGAACCTGGTCATACCCATCCAAGATTTCGAGTAATGCTTGATTACAAGTGAAATTAGCGAACTGAACGAAGGGAGATATCTCGGAGAACGACTTGTAAGCACCAATTTTGAAGATCAAACTAAATGGAGAACCAATTGGAGTGATTTGTGGATTCATATTGTTGACTAATGAATGAACTAATAGCTGAAGAGCTTCCTTGAAATAAAAAGCAGCCCTATCGAAAGGCTTACCGATTGGAGAAAGCTGATGATTGAGCCGCGCCAATATCCCTTGCGCGAGTATCGGATTGTTCCCAGATTGAATCATGTCAGCAGCTTTGAAGAGCTGGTCGATGATTGATTGCTGTTGCTGTTGGCCGAGTTCATCAATGGCGGACATTTTCTTGATTGATGAAGGTTTCTGTTGAAGCAATTGAAGCGGGTTTTGGGGATTTGGAGGTGAATCGAGAAAAGGGGTTTTGGGGATTTGGAAATTCGATTGTATGATTCCTGGGTTGTGTCTTTTGGGTTGTGGTGGCATTAAGAGTTGCTGTTCTAATGGCAGAAAAAAGGTCGGATTTTGTGGAGATTGAGATTGGTTTTGGTTGATTACCGATTGAGGATTGAAGATTTGAGGTTTTACGTCAAATGGGTGGATTTGTGATGGATTCAGTTGCGAAAAAATCGGGTTTTGAAGGTCTGAGAGCTTGTGGTTATGGTGGTGGTCGCCGAACATCTCCGCCTGCGACGGTGGCGGCGGTGGAGGGTTCGAAGAGAAACCAGTTTTTTCTTTTACTTGATAGAAATTCCCAATCTGACCAATTGGGTTGCCTGGATCAAACCCTGCATAACCTTGATCCACAAAACCAAACCCGCCGTTGTGTTCTTCGTCCGCCGTACCGCCGCCGTGTAGCATTTTGTTTAAACCCATCGATGGGTCTTCAACATCCCCCATGATCCACCGGAGAATAGACTGTTCTTGGCCAGATTCCGACAGCACGCTCTCCCAATCCTCCATTTCACTGCATTTCTGGTCGCCACAACCGCCGCCGGCAGTGATGTCTAGAGACTGTTTCGGTAACAGAAGAGGTTGATGGGTCCCAAAAACTCCCACATTAGAGCTGCTGGTTTCTTGATTCTCCGGCGGTGGCCATTTTAAAGATGGATTACCGGAAACCGCCACTAACCCGACTGTTTCTCCACCACCGCCGCCGCCGCCGCCGCCCAAAGAAGAAGACAGGGTTGAAGTGGAAGTCGGAGGGCTTGGACTACTGTTGATATTATCCAGCACAGATTTTGGTTCTATGTATTTTCTCTTCTTGTTTCCCAAATCCTCAAAACGTTCAACTTTATTTGCGCAAGGTACAACAAGCTCCGCCGTCGCCGGCTGCCGTAACGCCACCGCCCCCTTCCTCTCAAATTCAAAGGGTAAGGGCATCCCCTTCATCTAAAAAAAACAACCAACCACCGTCTTCCGGCCACCGCAATCTACCGCCGGAGCTTTCAAGAAGAACAAAACCCCTTTGAAATTTTCTGAAATCAAAAACAGATTTTGGAAACAAGAATTCCTAAAAACACGATAAATGCATGCCGAAATCAAAACCCATTTCAGCAAATTCAAAAAGAAAAAATTTGGTTGATTTTTTCTTGACGATTTATGTTCTTCTGCTTTGCTTTCTCTCTGTGATTATAAACTGTGTTCCTTCTATTTTCTGCCATGGATGCATGCAACATAAAAAAGTGGTAAAGTTACCCCTCAACACCCCCGGGACCCCCTCAACCCCCCTTACTCCCTTGATTTTTTGGAGTGAAATTACCAAATGGTCCTTGCACTATATGTCGATGCTCGATTTTTGTTCATTGACTTTTAATTTTCTACTATTTGGTCCTTGAAAAATTACTTGACGTTTTCGTTAACAAGCGATGTATCAGATGACCAATGAATAAATCGTCAATCGAGTTATCAGACAAGGATAATGATTTACCCCGACCCGGTAGAGAACTCGGCTCGCCCGACCCAAACAGGGTCGGGGGATTCTCCGCTAAAACAAGTCTCGGGGCCGAGGGTTGGGGTCGGGGATCCTCAATAGACTCAAATTAATAGATATATTCTTCATGGGGTTTAATCGAGGACGGGATGTTAATCCCCATACTCGCCAGGGACCGGGGCAGGGGCCGGGGCCGGGGGCTGTTACTAAAAACCAGGCTAAATTCGTCTCATCCCCGTCTCGTTGCCATGCCTATTATCAGAGTATGTTTAAGTGATTTGATAAAATGGAGAAAATTAAGTATTAGGGGTTTAGGCTAAATTTTTTTTATTCAAAATAGAATTTCGAAACTTTCTGTAAGATGAAAAAAATAAAAAAGAGATAATAAAAATTTCCATATTTGAATAAATTTCTTAAAATTAAATGTTTAAAAGAGTGAAAGAAATGTTTTTTTATTATTATTCCCAATAATAAAATTAAATATATTATCATATAATGTAAAAAAAATAGAACTTTATTATGATTATAAATTTATATAATATCATAGTAATATAATTAATATTAAAAAAAATTAAAATGATAAAAAGTTATAGACCATGCTATACTATATTATTGAGCATCTCACAAAAACTTTTAAAAACTATTTTTTATGTATTAAGTACTGTTTATTGATGTATATTATTTAAAGTTCAATATTACATCTAAATTGTGCGTATGTACAATTTATTAAAGCTCCGTGTTTTAATTTGTGTAAACAACTGCAGATAAACATAATCAAATATTGGATAGATATTTCATTTTAAATATAAATAATCTAAAATATATTTAAAATAACTATTGAATCTAACAAAATGTTAATTATTATCTTTATAAAAAAATTATATTATCAAACCAAAATTAAATGACTTCATTATTAAATTATAATAAAAAATTAAAGCAATTACAAAAAAAACAAAAAATTTAAATATTTAATTTGATACTAAAATTGATGCATTTTTTTGCAAAATTTTATAATATTTTTAAATTTATATTTTATTTAAAAAATAAAAACATTATCGTTTTTATTATAATTTAACATAGATTTAATAATGAAGTCACTTATTTTTTTGTTTAATAAATTTTTTTTATTAAGATATTAATTAGTATTTTTTGAGGATTTAATGATTATTTTAAATATATTTTATATTTTTTATATTTAAGATGAGATATATATATTTAATATTTGATTATGTTTATCTATAATCAGTTACACGAATTCAAACGTGGAGTTTTAATAAGTTAATCATACGTACAATTTACTTGTAATTTTGAATTTTAAGTAATATACATTAATAAACAGTACTTAATGTATAAAAAATAGTTTTTAAGATTTTTTTTCAAATGCCTTATAATATAGTACAGATAAATGAATTGAATTAAAGCAATTACAAAACAAAAACTTTTAAATATTTAATTTGATATTAGAATTGAACATTTTGTTTTCAAACTTTTATTATACTTCAAATTTATATTTTATTCAAAAAATAAAAACATTATCGTTTTTTCAGTATCACATAAAATCATATTATAACATCGATAGAAACAAAATAAAATGAAACACTAAAATCAAGATGTATCTCGTTGTATTGTGCGAATACAATTTTAGTTAATTTTTAATTAAAATGTAATAACATGACCTATTTTATTAAAAATAATGAAATATAACATTTTGTGATACACGTGGTTTGAAGAGATTGGTTCTTAGATTCTGGTTAAAATCTTCTCCCAAAAAGGTGAACCGACTGAAAACTGACACTCCATCAAAGTTACGGGTTTACCCTGAATTTATTTCAATCTGTAGCTGACAGAAAAGGAAATAAGTAGCTTCTACAAGGGTAATTCGGTAAACTCACTTTGTGTCCTGGCTTTGGCAATGTAGGGACTTGAAACATTCGAAATGTATTTGACGGATGAGATTGCTTTTCGAGATTCAGATGTGTGGCTGTGATCTCTATTTTGTTTTTTTTTAATTATTAACCCCTAAAGTTGCTTTATTTCAAAATTTGACACTAAACAATTTCCATATTTTGAAATGCTTTCTTTATTAACAAAAAGTTGGATAAAGAATTATTTCTAATTTTTATTTTATCTGAAAAATCGTCTGAACCACAAGGGTGGTGTCTGATTGGTTTGAGTTTGGCTCTAAAGGTGAAAAGTACCAGTAAGTCTCAGATTCAAATCCAAGGAGGAATAAAAATCCCCTTGTGGCCACGAAGGTTCAAATGCGGTGACTCCGGGCTATCTGCAAAGCAGGTGGTCGCCCTATGGTTCAAAGTCCTACAAAGTCGTTCGATGTCTTTTAGCCGAATTCCACTTTTTTGAATGACTTTTTAGTTGATTTCGAGGGATTTCTCATGTTTTTGGTTTATTTCGAGAGATTTTTTCGGTTTTCTAATTGATTCAAGAGATTTTACCCTTTTTTGGTTGATGTTTGTTATGTTTTTTTAATATCTTGGAGTACCCCTCAAAATTCATTGATTTTATGTGGGAACATAATTTTGATTAGTTTATTAATGACTATTATAGGGACTATTTGGTCATTTTGACGTTGAAACAGACATGATTGTGCTTCAATAGTTTTCTTTATCGTGAGATTGTTTATGAAACATGTGATTTACCTATTTCAGTACAGTCGTGGAGCCAGTATGATGAACACAATTCAGAAAATAGGGTCATAACTTCTTACAGAATTTTTACCTATAAAGTATGAGTAAGTTAAATATGAATTTCAAGCATTTATTATTATGATGTGGATATCATCATCTTTATCGTACAAACATGATGAGTAAATAATTGAAATTTCAGCATCATGTCAACTCATTTGCAATGTTTTTTTGTTGCATATGTGTATGTGGCCCATTGCAACATCAAATGAAACAAGTAGACAAAATCATGTTTTTTAAAGTGTTGTGGATTTTAATAAAAGGGATTTTATTTGTGGGATCAACTGGTTTTAAGTATTGTCATTTTCTTATAATGTAAATTCAGATGATCACAAAAAGAAACAAATGACATTATTGGAAAAAAAACAGGTTTTTAATATTTGAATGATCAGATCTAATAGTACTTCAATTGTTTATATTATATGTATGAACAGGAATATATCGTACAAGAATTGTGTCATGATGTTGAAAATAGTGATCATGTTCAATATGAAACTTAAATTTACGACCCTTTTGGCTCCTAATATGCACCGGAATGCTACCAAAAGTAGTTGGGAACTGTGCAAAATTTTATGCCTTTTTGCAGTTATTTTTTAAGAAAGATAGATATCGGGTTTTTACTAGGGTATTTTTTGTTGACAAAAAGGGATGATAAAATGTTCTTTTCTCACTTCTTAAGGCATCTCGGTTACCTCAAACATGTCCAAACTTTACAAAAAGAAACTGATATTTTTTACAGACTTACAGTCTTTATTATGTGATTTATGAGTACACTTTACAAAATGAGGTTATAACTTAACCTTTTCCCAAAGAATGTCATATCTGAGAAAGGCATTTTCGTTGCATGAATAGTTAGATATTATTGTTTGTGGCTTTCAAATTTTCTATATTAAGGGTCGAGCCACTGTCTAAGTTTCCACTCAAATTGTTGGCTTAACGTCAACAATCTAGAGGTGACCCTCATAACCAGGGCCGTCCCAATCTTTTTGGAGGCCCTGTTACACTATTATAAAAAATATATGTAGATTGGCCAACAAAACGAATTAAAGTTAAATACGAAAGTTCATATTATATTTAAAGTCTTACGAATAAAAACAAAAGACAAAGTAACAATGTAACATGTAAACTTCACTTGAATAAAATCATTCTTTTAACATTCTTGGAAACAAAATCTTCAATAAGCTCTTCATAATCAACTTTCTCCAAAAAGTCATTTTCAAGTGCTATCATTGCAAGTCCGTTAAGCCTTTCTTGTGTCATTGTGGAGCGCATATAAGACTTCAACAGCTTCAACTTTGAAAAACTTCTTTCTGCAGATGCAACCGTTACAGGAATAGTCAACAAAACTCTATAAGCAATAATCGCATTAGGGAAGCATTCAACATGTTTCAAATACTTTAAAATATCAAGAGGTCCCATHTTTTGTGTGGGTAAAAGATCTTGAAGTATCTTCAGTTCAACATATAAGTCATTTCCATCTATATCAGATTGGTCTTGTTTCTTCAGTGCATTTTCAAAATTAGTACAAGAAGACTTTAAACATGTATCATCCAAAGAACGCAACTTATCAGATGTAAACAAAAACCCAAACACACTTTCATATTCTTGGTATTGTTCGAATCTCCTACTTAGTGAAGCAATTGCATGATCAACGACACATAAGAAATAATTAACTCTAAATGACTCCTCCGTTGATTGTGAATTCATTTCAGATGCATCACGCGGATTTTCATCAAAATGCTTTTTTCTTCGAATCT